ATGACACCTAAATCTCTCAAATACCGCTCCAGAATCATTCACATCACTTAAATGACATGTGAGCCATCCCTGTACTAATAATATTTAATATATGTTAATTATAATAATATCCATAAATAGTCTTTATATTTACAATAAAATCAATAAAAAATAAAAAAAATCTTTATAAAAGAGTTATATTGTTTTTATTTCTAAGAACATTAAAGTAGTTGCATTATTTTGAGAGAAAAAATGAAAGCACTAGAACATGCATTAGATTTTTTTTTTATTCTAAAACTAAAGTAGTGATTTTAGTTGTAATAAAAAGAAGAAGAAAGTGATAAATTTAACTTTATACAATATATTAAAAACAGTTATGTCATGGTTAAAAAATAAATTTTCCCTTAACAACTAGTTAAATATTAAAAATAAATAAATTCATAATTATACTATTATATTTATATTATGAGTCTCAGTACACACAAATTTGTGGAGAATTGTTTTTTTAAAATAAACTCATACGGAAACACTATGGTCCATGATGACTATTTGTGTTAAATATGGAAAAAATTTCAATTTCCCAATGAAGTTTAGATTGGTGAATCTAGTTGCTTCTCTAGTTTCTCAAATGCATACTATATTCATTTTTTTTCAAAAAATAAAAAATAAAAATAAAGTCAAAGGGATTGATCCCTGAATTCTTGCAAATTTAATCAAACAGAACCTCCTTGAGATAAATTGTTCAAATACCTCTACTTCAAATTAAAAAATGCAAATAATGACGTGTAACATTGATATTTAAAATTATTTTTTAAAAAAAAACAAGGTGGTTAAAAATAAATAAAATAGGTGCAAAACTAAAATAAATTGGGACCTTTGTTTTGCATCATCCATAATAATAATAATATAAAGACATTAATGTCAAAAGAAAGTGAAAATAAACCTCAAAATACTATGTATAAAAGTTTTCTCACATATGATGACATTTCCGAATATTTGATAAAGTAAAATCCATAATTACGTATAAAAGAAAGAACTCCTTTAATATTTTTGATAGACTATTGTACCTTTAACATGATATTAATATTATAATTTATCTCAATGTTAGTATTTTTCTTTACCCCATCTTTTAAATAAGAAATATACTGATACAATAAATTATTATAATATAAGCCAATATTATTTCTTAAAAAAATAAGTATAAGCCAATATTATTTCTTAAAAAAATAGGCCTACCTCTTCTTTTCTTTTTTTTTTACTATGTATCTTTTTAAAAATTACAGAAAACTTTAAATAACACGAAATATGTTAGCACGCACACACACCATATAACTAATTAATTGGTTAATTACACTACTTTTATTTATACAAAACACATTTATTTTTAATAAATGCATTTTTTATTTTTAATATTTTTTATGTTTAATTAAAGTAATAAAGATAATATTCTTGGAATAAAGATGCTTTAAAAAATTATAAAATAATTATAATTATAAATTTTTTATTCTACATCAAAGCATTGTCTATAATTCAAAAGTTTCGCGAATAGGATTTTTGGTTTTTTAGCCTTTGAAGATGAAGATAAAAGGGACGCTTAGTATCTATACAAATTGAAAGGACAACATTTTATGCAGCCCGAATTTCTGCTCAATTTCAAGTTGGTCCTTGAATATCAACGTCTTTTTAGTTTTAATCCTTTTAAAGTTTTGATTATGCAATATGAGACGGAATTGAAACAAAATCAAAAAGTTTTTTTTTTTCTTAAATGGGTCAATGGACAAAATTAAACAAGCTTTTCAAATTCTACTTTTCCAAAATAGTCCTTGGATTTTCAAGTCTTTTTAATTAAAGCTAAAATTAATTATAAAATCAGATATTCACTCAATTCAAGCCTAGCCTTGATTGAATTAAAAAGACCTTTTAAATTATATCAATTCAATACTGTGATCCTTAGTCATTGAATCCTTTCAATTACAACCAGTTTTTCTTGAATTGCATCTTTAATGTGCTTTTTAAACAATTAAAAAATTATCATGTCCCATTAAATCTTAAAAACTTTAGATTGATTGGTTTGGAAGTATATTTGTTTTTTTTTGTTTTTGAATATATATTTGATTTTTTTTAAGAAAACAATATTAATTATAAAATCAATAGATGGAATGAGATTTGAATCCTTCATATCTAACTTTTCCAGCCCAGTTATTGCACCAATCACAAATAGAATTCGACAAAAGCAATCGCTCGAGACTTGAGTTCCAAAACACTTTAGCTAACCTCTGCATTGTTTTGCTGCTTCAAAATTCAATTAAAGAATTAAATTAAATATCGTCCATAGAATTCCCTTTAATTAAGCTCTAAACTGAATTTTTGTGTTTGCAATAATATAGAGCACCTGACTTCAAATGATTTTTAATTTTTAATTTTTAATCTAGAATACCTGCCCATTAATAAAGATAATTCCCTCTAATGATTTTCTCAATTTGATCAGGGGACAAATTTATCTGCAACTCCTCATTAAACAATATCTCTGTAAGCTCTATCCTTTCCTTGCAGCATCCGCTGATCAGGGGATGATTAGAGTAGGTTCTTCATCGTTTCATATAGCTCAAGACATTTTTGTGAACTTGCTGCTTTTAAATATCCTGAGATCAAAGAGTTATATATATATCTTTGTTGCATTAGGCAAAACCCCATTGACCACCTTCTTCCCAAAGACTACGAATCTTTCCATTTTGCACAAACAATTTATGAGATAACCATAGCTTATGGCATTTGACTTTTTCCCATTTCCTCCACTTCTTCAAGAATCTGGAAACACCTATGAAAAGCACACAACCTTCCATGGCCATCAATAAGGGTATTATATGTCTCCACGCTTGGCAAAAGCACACAACCTAACCTTCCATGGCCTTAGCCCATGAATTTTCATTCACTCAATAGTCAAAATGATCATACTTTTAAAATTCGATCTGGTTACGCAGGTCTACTTATAATCTAGTTAATCCATAATTGAAACCGGACCGAATTAAAAGAAAATAAAAAAAAAACTTAGTGTAATTCAGTTTACTTGGTAAGTAAATCCTGTAAAACCCGATTAAAAATCTTATTAATTTTTTTATTTTTTATTAAAATAACTTTATTTTAACTTTTAAAAAATAAAAATTAAACTAAGTGATTCAATCGAAATCCAATGACTCCACTAATACCTAAAATATAGATTTTTAACCAGGTCTGAAAACTTTGAAAATGACACCATCTATCACATATTTGACAGTAACCATTCAAAAGAGTATTATACATCAAGCCCATGTTTCGCAAGGAACACCAAAATCTCCACTGCCTTCTCGACTCTACCCTGTTTACATAATTCATTCAACAGAATACTACACGTGTAGTTTAATAACCACTGAAGATTAGTTATCGAATAAAAATATCTTAAATTAAATATTACAATTTTAATGTCAAATTAAAAAAAATCTAAAACCCCCACCACTCCTGTTTATCAATGTAGCAATAAATGTTTTTCAAAGTATTTCTTTTTATTTGAAATTATATTAAAATAATATATTTTTTTATTTTTTAAAATTTAATTTTGACACTAGTGTATTAAAACAATCTGAAAAATCAAAAAAATAAAATCAAGTAAAAAAAATTCAAGTTTTTGCCAAGATACTTTCTAGCCACAAAAACAAAAAGAATTACCTAGGCTGCTTGGCAATATAATCTTTCAGGCATTTCATTCTACAAAGATAAAAGAACAATCTCTTATGTTCTCTATAAAATGTTTTCTTGCTAATTGCCAACACATTCTTTCTGGATTTGTCAAAAAATTATCTAAATTTTAAAATTTAAATTAAATAAAAAATTTTAAACTTGAAACTTACACATACATGTATTACCTTATATTATTAATTAATTGTAATTAAAAAAATAAACTTTAAAATTATAACCATCTAATTATCAAAACTCTAATATTTATATTAAAAAACCATCTCAAACCAAAACTTAAAAAACTTACAAAGTGTGGTTTAAAAAACTTACAAAGTTGAGATTGTGTTTTTTACACAACATAGTCTTGAAAAGAACTTAAAACAACATTTACTTCTTCATGCTGCCGACCTTCTTCTAAAAGCTTTTTCAATGTACCATACCAATTCTTACACTGTTTTTTTAAATTGGGAATCTTAAATTTACTTCAGAATTTTCCAAGGGTCATCATGATAAATTGAATAATCAATTTGTAGTTCTTTTTTAAATAGAAAAAAAAATTAATTTATAACTCACAATTGAAGTGAACTTGGATCATACGTAAAGAGAAAATAAATAAATGAAATATGAAAAAATATATTTTGATTTCTATGAGATTTTTTTTGATCTCTAGAGAGGAGAGAAGAAATAATTATATTTTAAAATCAATTTAAAAGGTAGAAAATTTTGGATGAGCTAATTTGAGTTTAAGCTATTTGTGTTATATTATATATGGAAATTATTATTTTTTTCTAAATTTAAAAATTATTGATGTACTTTTTAATTTTTAAAAGAATATAATTTTTTTAAAAAATATTGTACTTTTTAATTTTTAAAAGAATATAATTTTTTTTTAAAATATCTGTAGTAATTAATCAGCTAGTTTAAATTAAATTTAATTGGATTAACCTAATCATTAAAAACCTAAATAAGTAAATTAAGTTTTACCATTACTCATTTTTTTCAGTTGAATTTAAAACTTAGTAGAGTCAGATTCTGAATCAAGAATTTCTTATTTAATTTATTAAATCAAGATAGGCTTATTTTATCAAGTAAAAATAAATAAATTCCATAACAGTTAAATAATTAAATAAAAAAAGAAATCTCCAGCCTCCATATGTTCTCAGCCAGCTGGTGAGATTCCAAATTTTGTTTCAGATCTGAGCCCATTTATGGCCCAAAAGAACACTCATATTCATAGCCCCTCTGAGTAGCAAAAGATATTGGTAACCAATTTGTTTCAGCCCATTTTGGAAAGCAAAAAAAAACAAAAATAATAATAATAATAAAAAAATATTTCTCAAACAAGTGAGAAGTGAAGCAGGTGTTGAGGATCTGTTAAATTTTCTCTACTGTTCAGAGATCTGTTTCGTACGAACAACCCTCACCTCTTCTCTCCATCAATGCAACACTAATCCAACCAAAGCAACAAACACACATCATTTTGCAAGCGATATGGAATACAGGAAAATCAAAGACGAGGTAAAATCTCTACTTTTTTTTTTTTTTTCACCTGCGTTTTCAAAACTCATATGCGACTTGCAGGAAGATCAAATTGGGGATGGTGTTGTTGGAGACGCAGTAACTTCAAGAGGAGGTAAATTAATCTCGTCTCTATTATTAGATTGAGTGTGTTTGCTTGCTATTGCGGTTGCAAAGTGCTTTTATGTGGTGGTTTTTTAATGGCTGTGACATGAAATGCACTGCTTATTTGTACTGATTTCTATATGGATTTCCTTTATTGCTGGCTGCCGTTGATTGATTTATGCAGTTTCTCCATCCAAGGTTACTAGTTTTCCGACTGGCTCAGTTGACCGGTTGCGCTGGAAGCGCAAGTAAGGCCTGCTGTTTTTATTTTTATGGATAGTTATAATTCATAAATTTTGGATTTTTTTTAGTTATCTTTTGTTTGATTGGATTAGGATGGTTGTTACGCTTGCATTAACGATTCTTACAAGTTCACAAGCAATACTTATTGTTTGGTCTAAGCGAGCTGGCAAGTATGAGTATAGTGTTACTACAGCGAATTTCATGGTGAGGACATGGTGGCATTTGTCTAGGTTTTCTACTTGGCTATTATTTTTGTTGAAATTTTGTTTCTCTTTCTATAAATAGGTAGAAACTTTGAAATGTGCATTATCACTCGCTGCGTTGGCAAGAACATGGAAGAAGGAAGGCGTTACAGAAGATAACAGGTTATTTTTATAGGGTCTACTATTTTTTAATGATTTGCTTCTCTTTCTCCTTTTTAAAGATTAGGAATTTTTAATTGTGTCAATAGGAGTTTTTTGGCTTGTGTTTCATGCTACATTAGGATTATTGACTTTTCCTCCCATTTTTTGATTTTCTTTATCTCTTGATACTGGCACTTATTTTTATTTTGTAATGTTTGGTAATTGCACTGCAAATTAGAATAACTAAGTGTTGTTGAATGTCTTATGCTGTCTGAATCCTTCTATCGAACTAGGTTGAGTACAACATTCGATGAAGTTAAAGTTTACCCCATTCCCGCAGCACTTTACCTTGTCAAGAATTTGCTTCAGGTGAGTTTTCCTAGTTGTTTGTTAATTATAAGTACAAGCTGCTTTCTGAGATCTTATTGTATGTATTTTGTGTTTTGTGTGGCAGTATTACATTTTTGCTTATGTCAATGCCCCGGGCTATCAGATATTGAAGAATCTCAATATTATTAGCACTGGTGTCTTATATCGAATAATACTTAAGAGAAAGTAAGGTTTTTTTACTCTGTTTATGCTAGATTTAATTGGTATATACATTTAAGCACTAAAACTCAGTGAATGGATGGAACTAGTGATGGATATTTTAATCAACAAAGACTTGGCAAAACTAGGCATTCTTTCCTGACAAGTATATTTGTGTTTTTCTAATCTTTTTCAGGTTAAGTGAGGTTCAGTGGGCTGGTTTCATACTTTTATGTGCTGGCTGTACCACAGCGCAACTAAACCCTACGTAAGTTGATAACCATCCCATTTCCTATTGCTTATGATAAAAATGTTCCAGAGACATCTCTTAGCATCACTGCTTCTCATCTTTTGGCATCCTGAACTCAAAATCTTCTCTGTGATTGTCATATATAGAGTTTCAGTTTGATTGACATCCATATTGCATCTTTGTGTTGTGATAAAAAAAAAAAAAACTGGCCTGGGGTCAAGTAATCAATCCTGGCTTGTGGCAGGTGGCATTTTTTTTTTTTGAACATCGTGTGTGTTCAGGTAATGTTCAATGCCGTGTATCTATAGCAAAAGCTAATATGTTTTTAGTTTTTAGAAACTGTCCTGTACTTGGAAATATTGGTAAACATTTCAAACCATCAATCAATTTTGATATAGCCATGCATGAAAAGAAAGGGTTTAATATCCTTTGTCCCTCACTTCACAATTAGTGTAATCCTATTGTGAAATTCAAATTTGTTTTAGTCTATTGAATTGCCATGCTAAAAATGATAATTTGTTTGCAGTTCAGACCATGTTCTTGAAACACCTTTACAAGGTTGGATGATGGCCATTGTGAGTTGTTTACATCTTTTATGCTCACAGTACAATGAAGGCCTTCATTTATTGTTTCTTTTTGTTTGCGTAATAATAGCTGGTGATTCTTTTGTAGGTAATGGCACTTTTAAGTGGTTTTGCGGGAGTGTACACTGAGGTGAGTTTTCAAAGCACATAGTTTACACCACTATCATTTGGAGATGCAGCTCGTGTTTTAAAAACGAACTTGTATTTAGAGAGTTTCCAAAGCCAGCATTCCTTGAACGATAGTCAGACTGAATTCATGAGTTGATTATTTTCAGACTATGATAATTATCTGGATTGAGGATGCACAGAGCTGAGTGCTGATTGAAAGCCTCAATTGTATGGCCAAAAAGTTCTTATTACTGATCAGTTTTGCTTCTGTTCTGACAGGCTATAATTAAAAAACGTCCTTCGAGGAACATAAATGTGCAGAACTTCTGGCTGTATGTCTTTGGGATGATCTTTAATGCTGTGGCTATAGTAACTCAAGATTTTGATGCAGTTGTGAACAAGTAAATTTGAGCTTTTCTTTGTTTTCTGTTTTCATCGTATGATTCTATTCCCTGTCCCTGTCTTTTTTAGTGAAGCAATCTCAGGCACTTTAGCAATGTTTTGTGTCTGAGCTTGTAATTATGCACAATTACCTGAATTGCTTGCTGTTTACAATTATATATTTGTTGTCCAGGGGGTTCTTCTATGGATACTCATTGATCACAACTCTCATGATACTCAATCACGCACTCAGGTTTGCTATATTTTTCCTGGCTTAATCATGTTCATCGGGAGTTGTTTGCTAGTGCTATCTTCTTCATTGCCACAGTTTCCTGTTTCTGATGACACTATGGAGGGATATCTGAGGACATTTCAGAGTATACTGGGATATATATACTGTGTAGCAAACTATTATCTATTGGTGTTAGAATTTTTTTGTTATGCATAATTGGGTCCTCCCTGCAAGTTAAGTAGAAACAGACTGCCAACAAAAGTGATATATTAATAGCAGTCCCCCAACTCTTCCAGTGCCCTTATCCTTAGTGTTTCTTTGATGATTCCATGCCTTGTGCTTAGGATCTCATCTGTTCTTTAAACCAATTGGAAGAATTAGTTTTGGTAGATAAATATCACAAAAAATATCTACACAAATGGACATTTAATTGATATTTTTTTTGCATTTCTTTGAAAGTCACTATTGTGCTTATAAAATATCTAATGTGCTAGAGATGCTAATTACTTTACTAACATTATCAATCAAGATATTTGACTGGGACATTAGTTCTTTTTCTTGAATCTATTTCAATGGGATTATAAATCTACTTTTTTGCCTCTTTGCCAATAAATCAGAATTTGTTTGATATGAAGAACATCAATTCATTAAGTAATGCGTCTGCTGTCACGTCAGTTAAAAAATTCCTTATCCAATGAGTGTGTAGGTAAAATTTACATGGTAACATTTTGTTTCTTTTGCAGTGGTATTGCTGTATCCATGGTAATGAAGTATGCAGACAACATTGTAAAGGTAAGATGCAAATTGTGATTTAACAGTTTCCGGAATTTACCAATTTCCATTTTCTTGCGTATGACAGTGATAATCTTTTCCTTTGATAACTTCCAATGAGCACCAGTTTAATTCCATTACATTAATTGCTGTTAGCAACTACTGGAAAGATCTAGGGTTCTGGTCCTTGGTACTATTCACCAAGTTTTGAGAGTTTGCAATCATTTTGGAATTTTTACCTACAAACTTCATGACCCCTTTCAGCCTCAGCATTAGATTCTCTAGTCTGGTTGGAGGAAAGATAGGGGTTGAGACTCTAGTTGGTGGCTTAATCAATGTGAAAACCTGTTTTCATTTTTTCTCTTGCTACACATTTTCTTATAATTTATTTGAAATTCCATCTTCATTTAGCTTTTCAATGTGTTGCAGGTGTATTCTACCTCAGTGGCAATGCTTCTTACTGCAGTTGTCTCTGTGTTTCTGTTTGACTTTCACCTGTCCCTTGCATTTTTCCTTGGCTCAACGTAAGTTACCTTTGGCGTGCTTGCGTAGTCTATCTATCAACCACTTAATTCTCTTGCTCTAAGAATGGAATATGTGTGGTACTAGGACTTGCCAGACTGTAATATAATCATTTAAAACGATCCTAACTATAAAAATAACGAGTTCTTGGCTTTGTTTTGTTTTGAATACAGGCTGGATAAAATGCACTCAAGTTTTGTTTGCTTACTTTTTTCTGGTTCTTGCAGAGTTGTTTCTGTTTCAGTATATTTACATTCTGTTGGGAAGATGCAAAGATAGGTACATCGTCCTCTTACCATTCCTCACAATCATAATGTAAAGGCTTCTCTCAAGGCTTTCTACGTATACTTATTTTTTTATTCGAAAGATAATCATGAAATCACCAATATAGAACATTAGATTAGAAGAAAATTAGTGTGCTCTCAGATCAATATCATGGGATTGTAATTGTAGCTCTATTCCACTCGATTTTATTTATCTTTTTTGATAGAACTTGCATTGATTTTATTTATGGCTTCTTGATGAATGGTCACTTGTAAATTTAAACGCTGCCATCTATATTTTTCTGGTTTCCTCGTGAGAATTGTGCTCTTTTAATGGTTTCTACTCCCTTCTCTCATGTAGACATGAGACTCATGGGACTCAGAAGCGAAACTGGGGTGCATGTGAGAGCCATGGCATCTTTGAAGTTCAAAACACCCGTAAATTTTAATGGTTGTTTCCTGAGTCGTAGATGTAATAAAGCTTTTGAGTTGAGGGTTTCTTGCCGTAACGTGCTTGGGAAAGAATGAGCAACTTGTCCGCTACACCTTTGGGGTTGTGATTATTTTTCTCAGGTGTTTGAAGGTATAACGAAGGTTTTTTTTTCTAAAAGTGATTTTTGTTTAGAAATTTATTAAAATAATATTTTTTATTTTTTAAAATTATTTCTGATATTAGTACATTAAAATGCTATAAAATTAAATTAAAATATTAATTTAAAATAAAATAAAATAAAAAATAAAAAATAATTTTTTAAAAATAATTTTAAATCTAAAAAACAAACCTTTTGAATTCAACAGTCTCAACCACATTCACACCTTTATTGTAAAATACATGATGTGAGAGATTGATATTTACTTGCATGCCATTTTTACACCATCCTCTACCTTTACCTTTAGAGGGCAAAGTCTCAAATCCTTGTCTTATATTATGTTAGTGGATGATTGCTATCTAATCCATTATATAATCATTCTTTTATATTTTTCAGTCACCATAAAAATAATTATTCCTTTATATTTTCTAGTTGCTATAAAAAATAAATGGCAACTTTTTTTTTATTCTTTTTATATATGGTTCGCCAAGATATCTTCTACTATAATAGGAATTAATTGTGATTTTGTCGTTTTTATGTTGATTATGATTCTTCAGAACGATATTTACTACGAAAGATTTAACCTTGCTGCATTTTGATTTTGATTTTTCATGGGTATTGATGGGTAAGCTAAAAAAACTCTATCACCATGTGATAGAGGTTAGTGGTCGAATCCGTCATATTCGAGGGTTTTTTTTTTTTTTTTAAGCTTTATGCTCCGATTAAATTGCCTTAAATTGTTTGAAGATTTTGCGTGTTCCAATCATGTTCAGTGAGTCGTATTGAAATAGCTTTTGCTAATTTAGCCTGGTCTCTATGGTTCACTGATTGTAAACTCACATTCTTCCTAAAGGTAATTCATATAATTTTCTCGTTCTTAATGGGTTCTAAGAATGTTAATTAGGGATTGAAGCCGTTCAGGTTTGTTGATTGTTGGTGGTCTCACTTGCTTGCAAGAACTTTGGAGGACATATGGAAAGAAATTTGCCACTGAGTGGCATAACAATACAAACTCATTAAGAGGCCATGTCTAAGCTGAAGAAATAGAATTTGATTGTGTTTGAGAATTTGGACTCAATATGTAGACCCGAAAAAAAAAAAAAACGTATTCATCCCTTGAAATTGCTCAACTAATCTCGAGGCCTCACCATTTTAGAACTGCAGACCTTTGTGTTGGAGAGTTGTAATCATGGTTAATTGATACATTTCAGGTGAGTCTAAAACTGAGGTTTATTTATTTTTATGGTTAAAATTTTATTAAAAATTTTATTATATCAAAATTTTTTTAACATGAAATATTATAATAATTAAAATAAATTATGAATGATTGAGAAATTAAAATAAAAAAATTCTTGATTGATATGTTTTGTGAGAGCCAAAACCCTTTATAAAACATAAGTTTTTTTTGTAATTTACAGTGAAAAGTTGAAAAATTAAAAATAAACATGTAAAGCATTAAAATTTTTAAAGAGGAGAAGACGGAGGTGAAATGAGCTTTCAGGCTCAAGTCATATGCACTAAAAAAATAGTTGATATTTTTTTATAAGGCTGGTATTTTCATAATTTTTTGACCATAAGGAGTTATCTTTTGTTTATCTATTTTGGGTTTGGAATTGAATTTACTGCAAAATAATTTTTTAAGCTATAAATAACTAAATTTTTTTAGTCCATTTTTTATTTGTCTAACCTATCAATAAAGAGTTTTAATAGTCTTATTTCTTTAACATGAATAGTTTTTTTTATACAAAAATTGTCAAATTTTAAAGTAAAAAATTATGATGTTGATTTTATTTTTATAATGGGTAATCAAGGCTCATAAATGGTGAAAATTAATTTTAATTTTAGATTTCACTATAAAATAGGGTTGAGGCAATGGCAAAGTCCCCTTCCTTGTCAATGTTTATATTTTTAGTAGTAAAATAACTAAAATTTTAATTTTTTTAAAATAATTTTTTAAATTTAGCTTCTCTTAAGTTTTTTTTTTCTTACTCCGCCCCTGGGTTGAGGGTTGAGTGTTTTACATAAATTTTTGTACTTTACATTTTATTTTTCCAGATTAACTTCCTTAGAGTTAAACTCTATTTTGTTGTTTGTTTTTCCTTCTAGAGTTTAAATTCTTTTTTTAGAGAGATTCTGAATAATTTTTCTATGAGTTCATTAACCGTGTTTAAGAATATAACTAAACAAAATGATGTAGTTAGAATTCTAAACAACTGATTGATATCATTTTATTTGCATTATAAGATAAACAATAAAGCTTTAAGTACATGGTTCAGTTCGGATTGATATAGGAACAAGCATCGACCTCAGCCCTCCGTTCATTCTTGAGTTTGGATTTGTATAAAAATATTTATTTTTTTTCATATAAAATTAATTTTTGTTTGAGTTTACTGTAAAATAATTTTTTAAATCATAAAAAATATTTTTTTCTAGTTTATTTTTTTATTTGTGTAGCCTATGAATAAAGAGCTTAAAAAATCTAGTTTAACATGAGTAATTTTTTTATATATAAAAAATTATCAAATTATAAAGCAAAAAATTATCAAGTTAATTTTGTTTTTATAGTGGGTAATTAAGGCTGATAAATGATAGTAATTAATTCTAGCTATCATTAAAATAAACTTTATATCAATTTTGATTCCAAAATTCATTATAAAATAAATTTGATGAAAATTTTTAAATTCATTATAAAATAAATTTGATGAAAAAAAAATTTCCATTAATTTTCAGGCACCTTTTCATCTCAGTTTTTCAAACTAACTTCCTTAGAATTCAAATTTATTTTTCTACATGTTTTTCGTTCAACTCTAAAGTTTAGATTATGTTTTTGTAGAGATATTTTTTAAGTAATATTTCCTTGAGTTTATTGGTGTGTTTTAGAAATGCAACTAAACAAGAAAATGTCGAAATTTTAGGAGATTGATTGCAATTATTTTATTTATATTAAAAGATGAGAAATAAAGCTTAAAAGACACAACTTGGCTTGGCTCACATAGGCACAAGCATGGACCTTAATTTTTTACCAGCTTATTTTTTATTTTATTTATTTAGTTCATAAATAAAGAGTTTGCATTAATCTTTTTAACTTGAATAGTTATTTATTTATACAAAAAACATCATATTTAAAAAAAAACTATTAAGTTAATTTTATTTTTGTTGAAAATTATTTTTTTTTATATTTTTAAATTATTTTAATGTATTAATATTTTAAATAAAAATCACTTCAAAAAATAATCACATTCAAAGTTCTAAACATCCATAATTCGTTACCATGTAGAATAGGAATAGTGGTATAGAATTATGTGTTGTTGGTATGCTATCCGTGTATATTAGGTACGGTGGATGAGATTTTAAAATAATACGTGCTATCACATGTCAAAAAGTATAATTTTAAAATATTATATTTGAAAACTCAAATTTCTCATTCTCACTAAGGTTTGTCTGAAATATCTTACTGAAAACAAAACGTAGTTGTAAAGGCATTTTATTACTGAAAACAAAACGTAGTTGTAAAGGCGTTTTATGTTATTTTTAAAAATATTTTTTTTATTTAAAAATATATTAAAATAATATTTTTTAAAATTTATTTTTGATATAAATGTATTTATGTATGTGTCAAGAATTCTCTCAAATGGGAAGTTATTTATTTTTATTAATGTGATTTTTTAAATATTATAAAGTTAGAAGCAAAATATGTATATTAAAAAATATTTTAAATATATTTCATTAAGATAGATAGTGTCATTAATATAGAAAGATTTTTCAAAACTTGAATAATCCACGTTTATCACATATATGTATAAAAAGTAATCACATTAAATTCAATTATTGCAAATGAGATGCAAGAAGATTTAAAGATTACCTTATCTCCATATAATTGATGATTTTAAAAATACATGTAATTAAACTAGTAACTTATTTAGCATGGGGGTAACAGTTTTTTTAAGATATATTTTATTTAAAAATATATTAAAAAATAATATATTAATATATTTTTTAAATTTATTTTTTATATCAGCACACCAAGCATTTAAAATGATCCAATTTTTTTTTTAAAATTAATTTTAAATAAAAAATAAAATTTAAATTTTAGCAAAAAAAAAGAAGAAAAGAGCAAGAAAATTAACAAAAAGTTACTGTACCAACTGAGATACGGTGATTTATTATCCACAACAATGGCGATAAGACTGATACCCGTTCATGTGCATGTACTGATGGAACTTGCATCGTTTTCACAATTTGATGCATTTAATTTAATTTAATTTCATCTTCTTCTGTGACATGATAGTGATGATCACTTTCGTAGCTGAAGGGCAAGTATCCATAATATAGGGCCATTTAGGTAGTGTTTAGTGGGGTTTTTTTTTTTTTTTTAAAAAAAAACTCAATTAATGTGTTGAATATTAGGAGAAGCTAACCGTCTAATTAGGTGAGAATTTTGAGGGCAATGCATGTGCCCTTGATTAATTTTAGGCATGCCTTGGAACCATGAGCGAGGGTTCATTCATGCTTTAGAAGGTGACCTTCATACCTAACCAAATTTTGCCTTAACAGCTATGCCCAAATATAAATTACAGGACCACATTTATATTAGTATTATCGGAGCTCCCGTAGCTTGACCTAAAATCCAACCTAGAGTGTGCTTCATGCCATGGAGCAATGCTTCCTAGCTTTTTTTTATTGTTGTATAATTAAAATT